TTCCAGCATCTTCATTGAAATCCGCCGAAACTGCCATCGCTAATGCGGTAATGCCTCATTGCTTACCCGTTTTCAAGGAAGATAGGATTGGACCTACGCTGAAGTTCTTTTATTTTTTGGGTGATGGAACACGAACGAAAGGTCGAGATCTACCCTGTTCACTTCGCTCAAAAAAACGAGCTGAAACACTCTTCCGGCTGATTTGTTGTGAGAGAAAAACACTGTTCCGGCTAAAAAACAGGCTTCTTACGAGTAGTTGTAACTTTGAGTAAGCTCATGATGGCATGGACTATTCTGTCCTGAAGATGACCCGGCTCACCGTCACCGTCATTCAGACAGAACATGCTTGAAGCCATCAGCAATGCTCATAAGGTAGCAGTACAAGGCTACAAGAATTTGGATTTTTGGACAGAGAAAAACAATGCTGGTGAGATTTTGTTCGTATTGAGCCTTGGCCTTTAGCCTTTCTCGCGTACTCCAACGCTTTGAAAACTTTTGAGAAAGCTGAAGCAAGCCACGCCCGTAGGCTTTTCTGAAAGCCTCTCGTGTGCTTTTGCGTCCGGTTAGAACGAGGCATAGATTCCCCTTGGATTTTCTGTAACCTCTGATGAGATGAATGAACCACAAGTTCTACGACTACGACCAATGCCTGTACAAGTACAAAACAACAGACGAATGAAAGCTGGGCAAGGTCCAGCCAGAACGACGTACTCCAAATCTGGTGGTTCGTGTCATGACGAAAGGCCTGCCGCCCCTGCACAGTTAAACACCACCCGTCCACCCCTGATCCCTGAAGAACTGTTGGTACTTGGCAGTAGCAGACTAGCAGCCAAAGCCAAGGTTGTCGTAGTGCCGCGGTGATCCCCCAGCCTTTTGAAGCCATTGCCCTCTGTGCTCGTGCCTTGTGTTTGTGAGTGTCCTACTGTCCTGTGGACACGCGATGGCACGGCCAGGCCCATCTCCAGGGGCCGCAGGGGACGCCCACGCACTACACTGACATGCATGCCATCGCCACCACTGTCCGCCGGCACGAGTGCCTGCTTGGTGGCCGCACAGAGGCCCCGTCTTTTTTCAGGCGAGAGACGGAGATCTGAGGCTCACCTTCCAGAGCTGCTGCCTTGTGCAGTTGTGATCTCTTCCTGCAAACAAACATGCATGGTTCCTCATGCACGGCGGCAGTCGGCACCATGAAAGGCAGCGAGAGTCACAGTGGCGGCACGGCGCCACCTCCGGCATTCATGACCGCATCACGCCTCCTCATTTATTATTTCCATCTGCAGGCACAGCACAGGCAGAAGCGAGCAGCAGCGGGCAGCGGCCGCGGGAGTTCAAAGTTTTTTAAACTTTGAGAGCAAAGCATGGCCTTGAGCTGACCAAAAAGGAAGCCTGGATCATATGGTATGGATGCTGGTTTCAAGAAGTTAGAAAAAAAAATGGGTCGTGTCCCGTGGATATAAGGGAAAGAACAGTTTTACCACGAGATTCCTTCATTCTTCTCGTTGTTAGTACTTAATTGACCTGACTCGCGGCGAGCTTAGTAGTTAAAATAGTGGCACTTTTGTGTTCACTCAATTGAGACAGTGTCCGAATCTTTTTAATACTCCGATAACGGTCTGTTCGGCTGGTATTAAAGCCGGCTAAAGTTGTTTTTGTTATGAGAGAAAAAATACTGTAGATTTTAGCTGATAAATCGGCTGAGATGTTCAAACGAACGGGCCCATGTCACTGTAACGAGGTAGTGGTGCTTTCTGCCCAAGTGGTGAGACCAGCTGTTTTGAATCCGAAGATTTGCATTGCATGAGACGTTTGGAACAATTTCATGGATTCGGCCAGGTCAGGGCACACCAAACGCGTGAATTGGTCCAGCAGCAACCACCACCAGATTTATAGCCGTCCATGACAGGATCATTAGAGACGGTCTTACAGACTAGGGAGGGGGGACTGTACAACTAGTGGTTAGTTAAACAAGGGGAAAAGCGAGTACGGACGAACGGCTGGATAAACAAAGGGCGGATGGTGATGGAGGATACGTGCTTTTGAGTTTTGAGGCAAGCGCAACAGCGTTCAATCAAAAAACCAAAAACGCCATCTTGTCTTCGTCTTCCCCCACTTGGGAATCCTTTACTCCTCCCCACCTAAACAAAACACCGGGATAGATAGGTAGGACACCATTATTGCGAGTGAAGCGAGCTTCCCCTTCCCTGAATCCCACGGTCCAGCTGTTCCTTCCAAGTAATGCCTGCCTGGTGCGGTTCCTGAGAGGATCGTTCGACGATGCAGGGGAGGAGGAAGAACACACGAGAGATGGCTCGAGAGCAGCCGCAGCCGCCGGCGGCGGCGGTGGCGGCCAGCTCCAAAGGCCAAGCATGGCAAGCAAAGCAATTGCTCTCGTGTTCTTTTGCCTGTGTGGTGAATTATTGTTGTGATCTCTGATCTGCGCGTTTGTACCCGTCAGGTTCTGCACCACAGGATTGCCCAGCGATGTAGTGATCGAGGTGGGTGACATGACCTTCCATCTCCACAAGGTTGGTGAATCTTGCCTCCAGTCCTTCAATCGATTCTCAAAAAATGAGCATCTCAATCTCTGTTCCATCTCCATATGCTAATCTTGTCAATGTCTCTGTCGTGAGTTGGCTGGGGCGGCCCATTTCATAGTCTCGAGCTGTCAGTAGTGGGGAAAATTCGGCACTCTTTTGATGTGATCCCAAAAGTTTGCTGAATCCGGTGCCTTTCGTGCAGTTCCCGTTAATGTCGAGGAGCAAGAAGCTTCACGACCTCATCACGAACAAGGAGTCACGCGAGGCCAGCCGGAGGGGCAGAGGAGCAGAGGAAGAAGAGGATGCGGGGGAGATCAGGGAGGAGGAACTGGACGTGGTGCTGGAGGAGGACGAGGAGGCGGACGTGCACCGCATCCGGCTCCCGGAGTTCCCCGGCGGCGCGGAGGCGTTCGAGCTGGCCGCCAAGTTCTGCTACGGCGTCAAGCTCGACCTCACGCCGGCCACAGCCGCGCCGCTGCGGTGCGCCGCCGAGCGCCTCGGCATGTCCGACGACCACTCGGAAGACAACCTCGTCTCCCGCGCCGACCGGTTCATATCGCAGACCGTCCTGAGGAACCCCAGGGACGCCATCCGCACCCTCAAGTCCTGCGAGGGCCTCCTCCCCCTCGCCGACGACCTCGGCCTCGTGTCGCGCTGCGTGGACGCCGTCGCCGCCAAGGCCGCCGCGTCCACGCCCACGGCGCTCTTCGGCTGGCCCATCGCCGACGACGACAGGGCCGGCGACCGCCAGCGCCGCAAGACCGGCGCCGCCGCCGGGGCCACCTGGTTCGACGACCTCGCTGGCCTGTCCTTGGCCACGTTCACCCGTGTCATTGCCGCCATGAAGGAGCACGGCGTCGGCCCTGAGGTTATTGAGGGGGCTCTCATTGCGTACGCCAAGCGGTCCATCCCAGGGCTGTCGCGCACTGGCAGGCATGTCGGCGGCGGTGGGGGCGGCGCCGTTGCGCCGCCTTCGTCAGATGGAGAACAGAAGGCGCTTCTCGAGACCGTCATTGCCAACCTCCCCGAGGAAACCATCAAGAGCAGTGCCCACACCGGCACGGCCGTGGGCGCTACCACGGCGCGCGTCCTCTTCGGTCTCCTGCGTACGGCGAACATTCTCCACGCGTCAGAGGCGTCACGGGACATGCTTGAGCGGCGCATCGCCGCGCGGCTGCCCGACGCGGCCGTCGACGACCTGCTCATCCCGAGCTACTCGTACCTCGTGGAGACGCTCTACGATGTGGACTGCGTCGAGCGCATCGTGCGGTATTTCCTGGAAGGCCGCGACGTCGCTGACGAGGGCAATGAAGAGGAAGGCAGCGAGGCGGAGACCCCAGGCAGAGAGGCTAGCCGACGAGCCATGCTGGCCGTGGGGAGGTTGGTGGATGCCTACTTGGGGGAGATCGCGACAGATGCCAACCTGAAGCCGGACAAATTCTGCGACCTCGCCTGGGCGTTGCCGGACGGCGCCCGCGTGTACGACGATGGCCTTTACCGAGCTGTCGACATCTACCTCAAGGTGAGGGAGCCGCGTTCTTGTGATCTTCTTGTCTGCAAGCTTGTGAAACAATGCCGGTGCTGATGAGTGATGAATGCTTGTTTTGGCTGTTCTCTCTGCAGGCTCATCCGGGTCTGAGTGAAGAAGAGAAGGAGAAGGTGAGCGGCGTCGTGGACGGGCGCAAGCTGACGCTGGAGGCCTGCACACACGCGGCGCAGAACGAACGGCTGCCGCTGCGGACGGTCGTGCAGGTGCTCTTCTTCGAGCAGCTCCAGCTACGCCGGGCCATCGCGCGGACCATCATGGCGAACGAAGGCGGCGCAGCCGGGTCAGGGGAGGAAGGCGGTGAGAGCGATGGTGGTGGGACATGGCGCGTGGCGGCACGGGGCAACCAGATGCTGCGGCTCGACATGGACAGCATGCGGAACCGCGTGCAGGAGCTCGAACGCGAGTGCACGAGCATGAGGAAAGCCATCGACAAGATGGACCGGCGAGGTGGGGCGCCGGTGGATAGGGGAGCGCCGTCCGTGCCGGCGGATGGGCGGTGGGGCGCGATAGTGACGAAGCGGTTCGGGTGCAAGTTCCCGGCGCAGGTCTGCCAGTCGCAGCAGCGGACGGTGGTGGCACGGACTCGCCGGCCACGCATTGAGCAGAGCCCCTGAGTTCTTAGCCATTGCACATCCTAGCTTCGAGTTCATTGTTCTGTTCTCTTGATTCTTTCAGAGTTTTCCCTGCGCGGCATTGTGTCCTTTTTCATTGAGATCATTGAATTGCGTATTAGCAGCGCACAAATTGTACTTGGAAGTCAGTCATCTTGCTGGCCAACACATCAAACTACAAGTTGGCTAAACCAATTCTTTCATCCTTCTCTCGCCATTAACAAAGTGTCACAAATTTACAAACTTGTTATGAAGAACTCAACCTGCGTGTGATCAATTGTGGTAGCTGCTGAGAAGGCTTCCTCACCAGTAGTCTCCGCAGGAGCAGGCGCCGTCCTTGAAATGGTGGAAGCGCTTGTTGTCCCTGACGACGATCTCGCGGCCGGTGACCTTGGCGATGAGCTTGACGGCGTTGTGGCAGTCCCCGCAGATGCGGAGGTTCTTCATGACCCGGAGCTGCGTCCCCAGCGGCGTGCTCACCAGCCCGAACGCGATGGCCAGGCGCTCGCTGTGGTACATGAGCGCGCGGGCCTTGGCGTCCTCGTCAATGTCGTGGAGCACGTGGCGCGTGTCCGGCACGTACCCTGCCGCGCGGATCTGCGCGTGGAGCTCCCGCACCTTCGCGTACGCCTCCCGCCGCTTGGCCTGGACCGCCGCGTCCTCCTCCTTCGCCGGAGACGGCCGCCTCGGCCGCTCCTCGAGGGCTCGCCGCGCGTCGCTGCGGGCGCCGAGCTTGAGGTACAGCGTGGCGATCCTGTGCAGGACGGGCGCGGGGATCGAGGAGCTCAGCCTGGACGAGAGCAGGCGGTGGACGCGCCTGAGCGAGGCCAGCGACCGCGTGTCGGCGCAGGCCTGGAGGAGCGCGGCCTGCTCCTCCGGCTCGAGTTGTTCGGCGCTGCCTCGTTGGAGCAATTGGTCGAGCAAGCTAACGGCGGCCTCCGGGTTGGGTTCTCGGCACAGCAGACCGAGCTCTTCGCTGTCGAATCGGGAATCGATGGGCTCCGGTGAGCTGGTACTCGTGACAGAGGCGGAGGGTACGCGGTATGCGAAGCGGAGCGCCAGGCGGCTACGGTCGCGGTGGTGACGGGAAGCCGTGTCGGCCGGTGTGTGGAAACCGCTTCGTCTCCGACCGCGGATCCCTGGACGTGTGGGCGTGGTGGTGCTGAGAGTGGAGGAAGGGGAGGTCCAAGAGGCGGCCGGTGCTGCAAGTCTCGGAGAAATCAGCATGTTTGGCCGTGGTGTGAGGTGGAGGTGGAGACGGGGAGCGAGCTGATATCAGAGGACGCGACAAAGATATCCGAGCTGGGTAGAAGAAGCCGCAGCCGCAGTTCGGTAATTGGACTGGGCCTGGGCCTGGAAGAAAAGGTTTCGCAGCCCGCTCGCGCCCGCTCTATTTGGGCTGATATATGAAGTCCATCCGATGTTTGTATTTGATTTTGACCTCAATTGATAGTTCAAAGAGGTCAATTAAATAAACTTAATAAAGCAAGATATAGAAAATTAGTTTTTAAATATAAATACTCTTTGAAAAATAGGAAACTAAAAATCTTAAAATTTGATTTAATTAGAAAATTCGTAGGATTTTTTAACTCAAAAATATAATGTAATTTTATTTTATTTTTCTAAAATCATGCTCTGATTCAATATGGATTGCCGGCGAGACGGTGTAGGGTATCTGGAGTTCATGATGGCATTGGACACACCCAGGCTGAAAGTGGTTCAGGTGCTTGGTAGATTCATACTAGTATACTTATGTTCACGATAAGTGCTATTTGAACTGATCATAGGTCAAATAGGCGATTAGGCCAATCTTACTAACCATTTCATTTTGATTTTTTCCAAGGATGTCACATCAATAAATAACATCTGATTTATAGTTCATCTTGTATGTTTCATATGCACCTTTTGAATTTAGTCCTATATGCATTAAGTTCTAGAAACATGCTTAGGAGGTTTAATAATTAACTCAATTCATCATCTCTTCTTCTTTAGTTCTATGCAATTCTATCAAAATTGTTGACGTCGCACCCTATTAACCAAGAACAATAATACAGGCGATGTAATCATCGATAACGTGACATCATTTGTGTTGTTTCAATATTATATGATATGTTAGAGTATCTCCATTTGTTTTCTAGAATCCACTCTCTGGATCCTCGTTTAGAGATCCATATTAGTAAAATTGCTCCCTATGTCTCTCTACTCACCAACAACTTTCCTATATCTTGTTTGAATGTTCAGCACTTCGGTGAACTTTTGCTCTCTATCTTTCTTTGCTGAGCGAGAAATCAGAAATAGAGGGCGGGAATATTTAGAGATCTAGTTGAGGAAATTATTGGAGTGATTTTTTAATAAAAAAATTACAGTCCCATCAACAACACCTGCACTAAGTTTTTCGGGGACCAAAGTGAGATTAAAACTTGAGACCCTTTAGTATAATAAGCACTCATGGTTGTAATTTGTAATGACTAATACGATTTGGTATAGAGTACTAACCGAGGATTAGTGTTTAGACCAATGAACAACAATTTGTTAGGTAATTCATAAAAACTACAATTTTGATTAGCTCATGTACAACTGTGTGATCAGTCCCTAAAGAGTGGAATTGATTATCAATTTCAAATTTAAAAACTACAATATGGGGAATGGAACCTACCATATGTTTTTTTCAACCTCGTGGACTAGGGTCCTAAGTCGCTCTCTTTGCATGGAGTCATGCCTCACGGGATCAAATGTTTGGGGTTAGGTTTATCACCAAGTCATGGTGCAGCCGGAGTCTTCGAAAGGTGATGCGTATTGACTTGCTTCACACGACATGGCTTATGTAGCGTCAATTGATGATATATATCGATGCTCGGCTACTATCTTTAAGTCATGGGGCTTTTGGAATATATACAAAACACTAGCACTATATATTACATACCCAGTGAGAGGCTCCGTCGTTTCAGGGGTCTGGAGCAACATTCTCTTCCCAACCCCCACGATCTATCAATACAGATAAAGGTTTTCCTTGAGTGGCTCTTAGATTATTCTTTCAAATGTATTTATAGTGGTAGAATGTGTGTTTGTATTTGTGTATAGAGTGAGTGTATAAAGAATCCTATGTTTAAAGCAAATACAAATCACTATATAAACCATAAGAAAACCGTCACGTGCCCTGACTGCCCACGTCGACCCTTCTTGGCCATGTGGCCATGCCCACGTGACGATTAGAGATGAAATTGAATCAAGTCAAAGTAGATAATGTCTTTTATACTCTATATTCTTTTTTCATATTCTAATCCTTTTTTTTCTTTTCCAGAGTCATAACGTATTTGATAACGCACACATACATATATGAAAATGTGATTTTTTTTTTCAGATCTTAAAAGTAGTATACACATATCGAACAGAATCTGATGGGCTATAGATTTAGACAGGGCAACAGATCAGGTGGAAACCAAGCTTATGTGCAAACTTTGGAAACCATCAATCTGGACCGCTGGATCTGCATCCGATGGCTTCAGATAGAGGTGGGCGTGTTTTACAATTAAACGCCCGCAATTAGCACACTAGTTGCGTTGTTTTGCGAAAACCCCAGTATAAAACAGGAGCTCGGTCCGTCGTTCCGTTTGGCAACAAGATCGATTCGCGCAAGAGCCGCGGATCGCGCGTCCTTCCATCTGGCCGCCGCCGGCGAATCCAGGTCCTTCGACGAGCTAACCCCTGCGTCGGCAAGCGATCGGCAAGAGGTTCTTTCGTCGGCACGGGGCCGGGCACACCGGGGGCCGCCGTCGCGCTTGCCGACAGCGATCGACCTCCACAAGTCGACCCTGCGTGGATCGAGACGGTTGCGATTTGGAGTCCGCCGTGGAGTTCGTTGCTACATGAGTCCGGTCCTCCTGTTGATACGTGAGTGTACCATGGATTCGTTCATGGTTGTTTCGATAGTGAGATGCTTGTAACCAATTTGTAACGGATCGGTCTATATAGCGAAGGCACGCCAAGAGGTCGTGAGTCTGCGCCGCCGCCCCATGGAGTTCGGTAGCGTGGCGTTCCCGCCCGATGTTGTCGTCGCCGTTGATGCCGCCATCGTCGAAGATCCCGTCTCCATCGAGGCTGCCGCCATGGATCATGTCGCTGATGCCGCTTGGAGCAAGTGATCCGTTTACTGCAGATGAACTGGAACATCCTAGCACACCACGGTCAAGTTCCAAAGAAAATTTGAAGCCAAGGATTGGAATGATCTTTGATACACTCACAGATGTGGAGGATTTCTACAAGTCATATGCACATGAAGCTGGTTTCTCGATTCGTGTTGGTCAAAGACAAGAAGCAAAATGACGAAATATTATTCAAGAGGTATTGTTGTTCAAGGGAAGGGTATAGAAAGGAGAACGTAACAAATGTTAGTGATGATTCTGAGAAGAAAAGAAAGTCACATAATATCATGGAAACCAGATGTGGTTGTGAGGCACATATTGTCGTGAAGCTTGGCAGCGACAAGAAGTATCGAATAGCTTCAATGGTTGAGAAACACAGTCATGGTTTTGTGTCGCTAGATAAGAGGCATTTGCTAAGATCCAACCGTAATATCAGTGAGAGGGCAAAGAGTGCTTTGTTCAATTGTCATAAGGCTAGCATTGGCACCTCACAGGCATATCGACTTCTCCATGTCAGTGAGGGTGGGTTTCAGAATGTTGGGTGCACACTGATGGATTTGAAAAACTATTACCGTGATCTCAGAACCAAAATTAAGGATGCAGATGCACAAATGTTTGTGGCACAACTTGAGCGAAAGAAGGAAGTAAATCCAGCCTTCTTTTACGAGTTTATGGTGGATGAACAAGGACGACTTGTTCGTGTATTTTGGGCGGATGCTTTATGCAGGAAAAACTATAGTGTTTTCGGTGATGTGGTTTCGGTAGATGCAACATATACCACAAACCAGTATAACATGAAATTTGTGCCATTCACTGGTGTCAATCATCACTTGCAAAGTGTTTTCCTTGGGGCAGCATTCTTAGCAGATGAAAAGATCGAGTCATATGTATGGTTGTTTAACACCTTTCTTAAGGCTATGGATGGAGTAGCACCTCATCTAATCACAACTGATGAAGATGCAAGCATGAAGGCTGCTATTGCTCAAATTCTACCGGATACAACTCATAGATTTTGCATGTGGCATATCATGGATAAGGTGCCTGAGAAGGTCGGGCCCTCTATAAGAAAAGATGAAAAGTTTTGGGAAAGACTAAACAAGTGTGTTTGGGGACCGAGAATTCAGATGATTTTGTGTCACAATGGAATTCTATCATAACAGATTATGAACTCATGGGAAATGATTGGTTTTCCACTAGGTTTGCCATTCGCGAGTCATGGATTCCGGTATATTTTTTGGACATACCTCTAGCAGGAATGCTTAGGACTACATCACGATCGGAGAGTGCAAATTCTTTTTTCAACCGTTTCATTCGTAGGAAGTTGACCTTTGTTGAGTTCTGGCTAAGGTTTGACACAGCTTTGGAGTGCCAGCGCCAAGAGGAGTTGAAAGCCGACAATGCAAGTCTACACACCACTCCTAAATTGATGACACCATGGGCCATAGAGAAGCAATGTAGTGTGATATATACACATGAAGTTTTCATTAAATTTCAGGAACAAATCTTAGCTGCAAGAGACCATTGCATTATTCAAGGTATTTCAGAGAGTGAAGATCTAAAATGTTTCACCCTCAGCAGCCAAACTGGAAAAGACCAAGTTGTTCAAATGAATAAGTCAAACATGTTTGGTAGGTGTTCATGTAAATTATACGAGTCTTATGGCATCCCATGTCGTCATATCATACAAGTGCTTAGAGCTGAGAAGCAAAGTGAGATACCATCGTTATATATTATGACGCGATGGGAGAAAAGATGTAAAAGGTGTGTACTTTATTTTTTCTCCTTCTCTGTTTACCTATATTTTCTGTTTTGTACAATAGTCTTGATCAGATATTTAATTTTACAGGGAACTATTCTTTGATGAGGAAGGTAACCTACTAGATGAAAAGCCTAAAGATCCTTTGGAGGTGGCCTTGCGGAAAAAGATTTCAAATTCACGCAACAAGTTTGAAGATCTTATTTAAATGGCCAAGAACTCCGAAGAAGGGATGGACTTTTTATATTCTAGTTTATCCAACCTAGTCGAGCCTCTCCAAAAGATCACACCTGCTTTGAGAGTTGAAAATCAGGATGAATATGAATCTTTCCTTGCTAGTAAAATTTCAAAAGAGGTCGATATACATCCACCAAATGATGTCAACTCGAGAGGGAGATCCAAAAGAATTAAGAAGAGCAAGGAGACGAAGGAGAAGAAAGCTGGAAGTAAGGGTAAAGGTAATCGGACGTGTCGAAAATGTAAGCAACAAGGGGATCATGATGCACGCAATTGCCCAAACAATGTTGTTGGCTGATATTTCACTTGAACAATGTACTATTGTGCGGCGTCAGCCATGGAATGCTTCTTGAAAACACTTTTAGTTAACTGCAATGTACTTGCTTGTCAAATTTGAGATGTCAATTTGCTCATTTTTTTATTCCAGTTCGACTCTACCTTCAGTTTGATCATCTGGCCGAAGCCATAGTTCACAATGTATATGCACAATATAATAGTTTATTTTCAATTCTGTGACTCCACTGAACTGGAATCAAGTTCTTGCATAAAACTGAACTGAACTGCATTTCACAATGCATCCTAACTTAACAGCATACACATCGCATAAAAAATAGCTTGACAAACTTCAGAAGAACCACTATTTGATTTCCAATAATTCCTACTACAACAGACAGTAGCAGCTAAGATGTCCGTGCTGATGCTTGGCTTTACTACTGCTATGTTCTTCAGTGCCTTTTCTCATTGTCTTCAGTACCCGGCTACAACAGACAGTAGCAAACTAGCAACAGACTGCTATGTTCTTCAGTGCCTTTTCTCATTGGCTTCAGAACTAACATATCGAGCCAGCTGGGCGGAGACGCAACCGCGGGGGTGAGCTGCGACGGCGAGAGGCGCAGTTCGGCGGCCCGGCAACGGCGTCGAGGCAGCTGGGCGAGGCCGCGGCCGCGGTGGTGAGGTGCGACGGCTGAGAGCCACAGCTCGGCGGGCCGGCAACGGCGTCGATCCGGCTCGGCAAGGCGACAGGTGCGGCCAGCCGCGCATGGAAGGGCGGCGGCGGCGGAGAAAGGCGAGGCGGAGGGCGGGCCGCTCACGCGGCGGGATCTCGCCTGCGACCGAAGGACCTGGATGTGCCGGCGGCGGCCAGATGGAAGGACGCGCGATCCGCGGCTCTTGCGCGAATCGACGCACTGCCAGCCGGAACGACGGACCAGGCTCCTATTTGCGCTGGGGGTTTCGCAAAACAACGCAACTAGTGTGCTAATTGCGGGCGTTTAATTGCAAAACGCGCCCACCTCTATCTGAAGCCATCGGATGCAGATCCAGCGGTCCAGATTGATGGTTTCCAAAGTTTGCACATAAGCTTGGTTTCCACCTGGTCCGTTGCCTTTAGACAGTTGAATAATATACGCATATATAGAGAACTATATGTGTTCGTCAAGAATTAATTTAGTAAAAAGCCCATGATCAATAATCTTGCATTACAATTCATGTTTTTCTTTTGAAATTGCATTGCATTTCATGCTGACTGGCATTGACACAAACACTTAAACAGTATGCACACTCACAAATAACAAATTATTAGACAATAAGTAATAACACAAGTTCTGATTTTTTTTTGTGAGCCTGAATTTAAATTTAACCCATAAAACAAAACATGTCACAAAATAAGAGTAGTCGCCTATTAAGCTTTTTTTATCCTAAAGTCTATTGCTTTTAGTCTAGGTTAAGAGATTATCATATATCCTACTTTAAATATCTGATAATCTTTATAAAATTGTGGTTAATCTAAATCAGTCGAATTTTACCGGTTTTATAGCTTACATCACATCTGCACAAAATTAAACCCAGATTATTGGATTAGTATGGACATGAAAACCACTTCTGTATACCTCCAATCCAAATTCAAATTTAATTTGTATTAAAATCTATTCCACGTGTTCTCAAATTTTGGATTGGAGTCAAATGAGATTGCAGAGTGAGGACCTCTGCCGACACGTCCCCGCTGCTGTCTGCCGTAGGCGCTAAAATAATTGTGGGGAGTCATCAGATCTTACATCAATGAATCAAAGACACAATCACAAGAAAGCGGATGCGTGTCTGTATTGAAGCCAACAGGGGTTGCTTCGATGCATAAGGTTAATTGTTAGCTAGATAATTTTGTAACCCTAATCTAGCCAACAGGGGTTAATAGGTAGACTAATTTTATAACCAAGCCTTGAATTAATTGTTTGTGCAACTTCAAGATCCTCTCTATATCTTATTGATAGGATTAAAATTTTGGTGAAAAAATGTCCTCCAACAGGTTCTTTCAAATATTGTTATCTTCTATTCTAGATTTTTTGATAGCTAAAAGATGGAGAACTGGGTTGGTTGTCTGGAGTACGCACAAGATATAGAAATGATAAAAAAAATATAAAGAGTGATTTTTTATTAAATGACTCCTAAAATGATAATTTAAATAGTGAATTTAAGAAAGACGGTTGAATATGCTTTTAGCCAACTAGTTAAATCATTCGCCACGTATCAACTGATTTGCAAGTTTTCCTAAGCTATATGGTACTTGTCAGTATCACGTAAAGCCGGTATTGGTATGTACGAATCCATATCGACTATGATTTCTTGATTATCCAATCAATTCGGCCACGTACTTGATCAAAATGATGCTTACATTGCACAACAACGTGTAGCGGTGTAGGCAACGTGGACTGCCTGGTCACCAATTATATGCAGCCAAAAATCAAGAGTCAAAATTAACACAGATGCATGCAAAAAATAATACAAGGCCTCCTGGTCGCGAGCATTCCACGTATCACGTACTTATTGCCTTGCCTGGAACCGTCCGGATCCAGCGGTCCCGCCAGTCCAGCTAGCCGTGCATATCCACACCAGATCCCGCAGATCAAACGCTCGTCCAAACGGAGCCGGCGTGCGCGGCCGATACAGTGTGCGAATAGCGATTGTGTTCAGCTGGGCGCGTCGGCGATTTGGTGGGTGGTGATCGGCGAAGGCGAAGGCGAAGGTGATGGGGGAGGGGTTCGCGTCGTATCTGGCGATGAAAACGGGGCCGGAGGGCGGCGACGCGGCGGCGGCGCAGCAGGCGCTGATCGACGCGGACCTGCGGGAGCTCGGCGTCGCTGCGCGGAAGCTCGCCAACCACGCGTTCGTCCTCGGCGGCGGGCTGGGGTTCGGCACTTCCTTCCTTAAGTGGCTGGCCTTCTTCGCCGCAGTGTGAGTGTTTCCGCTCCTGGCCCGTTTCTTTGTAGATTCAAGAAAGGGGATCCGTGATCCCATTTTTTCGGGTTGTGGTCTCATGATTCGCGATTCGATGGGGTCCATTGGCAATTTGCTATATTATTGTCGAATTCGTATCATAAGCGATCGCCCTTTACTGGGAGGATTTAGAGAAAATTGGGGCCACATGGGGATCGCACTTTTACTCTCAGTCTCAGGTACCCTGCATATGCAGATGGACCTGGCTCCTGAGTCGCGAGGAACTTGGATTTGAAGTTAACATCGCTAGCTAGCGGATTGCGCGTTAGTTAATTACGAGAGCCAAGTCCATCTGACGCTTAGGGTGTGGTTACTCACTACTCAGGTCCACTAGTCCATGTGTTTTTGAAGTCTGAACATAAGCAGGTACTGGTTATGATCTTATTGTTCTTGCGAAATTCCTGGACGCTGTTAAGATGTTGGTATGACTTGTACAACCTAATTAGCTTCACGTGCAATTGTCAGTGTTTATAAGTACTCTTTACTATACTTTTTTTCTCGACCGTGCCATGAGGCACATTTTTCATTAAGAGGGAGTAGAGTTTGCAATTACAAAACAACACGGTAGTAGGGAATTACTGCCGGGGAACAAACCAGGGAGGAAAAGCAGGGGAAAAAAGTAGAGCAAACCAAAGTAAGCGACTACATCAAGCAATAAGCGGCAAAAGCTCCCTCGAGACGGCCGTTGATCTTGTCATTGGCTTTGAAGATCATATTGAAGTCCCCGCCTACAAGCCAATGCCCATCGCAAGCCGATCTGACAGTTGCCAACTCGGCGAGGAAGGCGACTTTGTCAGGCTCGAGCTGTGGACCATAGACGATGGTGATCCACCACCCAGGCGGTTACCCAGGCGGTTAGAAGCGACGCACAGAGATGGCGGACGTCTCCCACCATTCTTTGTGCCAGGCGACCAAAATGCCGCCAGCCGATCCAGACGCAGGGAGGCACACAATCAAACATCGTGCCTAGCATTTCATTAGCATGGTGAGTACAGAGGTTCTGGAGCTTCGTCTCCTGTAAGCATATAAGAGAGACGCGCTCCCGCACAAGGAACTCCCTAACGGAGTCGCGACGCGCTTTGCCATTAAGGCCGCGCACATTCCAAATGATGATGTTTTCCGACGTCATGGAAACACAATTGTGCGACAAATAGCATGCGTTGGATGGAGACTCTTTACTATACTGAATCAAGAAATAGCATGAATCAATTGTTAGTCTGGCTAGTATAGTCATAACTCATATGCCATAGAAAAGGTGCTGAAATTGCTGGACGGAGTTTTAATATTACTCGAATTCATTGGGACCTGCATTACTGTGTTGTAAATGGGACATCTTGTAAAAAAAATCATTTCCAGTTTTATAAAGTACCAGGTTGGAATGAATTTATACGCTATTTTCACCTGAGTGACATCGGTAGGACATTTCTTCTTAAGATAGTTCTCACTACAATTTAATTGGTGACAACTCTGTTCTATTCCACTACAGGTATCTCTTGATATTGGACCGCACAAATTGGAAGACCAACATGCTGACAGCTCTCTTGGTTCCTTACATTTTCTTCACTCTACCTAATGTGCTGTTTTCTCTGATCAGGTGATTAGGCACATAAACCCTATCTCACTAACCAATCTATTGTGCACTGTATGAATCAATCGTTAATTACCATGATAGTTTTTATGTACTATGGGTAGCAGAATGTGATTGATGTACAGTAAATTTGTAGGATCAAAGCACTGCCACTACAATATTGTCATACTCTACACCTCGTAGAATGACAGTTACGAAGTGTATCAAATTCAGTTATGTTTTTGTGGATCAGTTAATGTAGGAGATCCATTTTGGTTACATGTTGATGTGAATCAAATTCAATTATATTTCTGATTGTGAATCAATTAATGTAGGACTTCCATATTGGTTACATGTTGACGTGAAGTCTGCTGTAGTGATAGCTCAAAGCACTTTCAGGAGAGAAATGTTCTCTCTTGATCACTTGATCTGTATTCTGTAACAGAGAATATGAAAGTAGAATTTCTTATGTCATCAAACCTTTGAATTTTCAGAGGAGAGGTGGGGAAATGGATTGCGATTATTGCTGTTATTCTGCGTCTATTCTTTCCACGCCACTTCCCAGGTACATCTGCAGTCTATTTCGCATTCTATCAAATTTCCAGATATCGGTTACATTTACCTTTTATTTATTAGGCTTTTGTAATTTTACCATTAACATAAAATAGTTACAGTTCATCCTTTTGCTTAGTGATTCTCAACATTGTTTCATCCTGTGCTCCAGATTGGTTAGAGCTTCCTGGTTCCATCATCCTGCTCACAGTGGTCGCCCCCAGCCTGTTCGCAGACACCTTCAGGGGTGACCTCGTTGGTGTCTTGATATGCCTTGCGATTGGATGCTACCTGCTCCAAGAGCACATCAAGGCGTCAGGTGGATTCAGGAACGCCTTCAGGAAGGGCAATGGCGTGTCGAACTCCATTGGCATCCTCCTGCTCTTCGTCTACCCTGTCTGGGCGGCGGTGCTGCAAGTCCTGTAGGCACTAATGCCTCAGTGTTCACCTCTGCTGTCCAGCTCCATTCTCGTTCGTCCCTGTGCAAATGTTTCCTCTATGTTGATCGTGATCCTGTGTCATTGCCTCATCGGGAGGGGATGCGTTATGTGTGATTGAGTCGATCAGTTGGACCTGTTGCCATGTTGGTGGACAGTTTTGTTATCTCATTTGCTGTAGTTCGATGTCAGCATTTGGTTCGTTCGAGTACATAAACGCCAATAAAATCATTAGCCGTGGCTTGATGTAGATCGAGATGTTGGCCATATTATCCCGTGTAAATACCTGCATCGTTTATGTTATCGCAAGTTTGAGGATGGATGTTTATATCAACTGTATCATCCAGTGTTATTCTTATTTCTGAATATGATGATGCCAAGTAGTGACAAATAGTGAAACAACATAACAACGTTTTGGTCTGCGGGCGATCAACTTGTGGACGACCTTTTTTGGTTCCGTCATCCACTTTGTTGTCGTCTACACCTGGCTTCCTGGCGTCCGTTGGTTCAGCCTTTTGCCTGCCATTCACTCGTGCCCGTCGGACCACACAAGGTGGCCGGCACATTCCTCCTCGCCCGGCTCCTATCCTCTGCCCAGTTGCAACAGGGGATGGGATGCGATGTTCTTTGTCTGAGAGGATCGTGCACAGTGATGTTTCTCAATTTGCTAGTATTCTATAACCGACCGAATTTTCCAGTAGCTCCAGTTGTGCTCGACTGGTTAGATAATCCGACCGACGTGTCTACCCATTGCGATCGCTGAACATGGTTCTTACGCGTCCTTTTTTACTTGACATGTCCAGCTTGAGCTTCCACCTGTTCTTTAGCAGTCGCGATCAGCGTCGAGCAGTGTGATTTACTGCACAGTTGCACCAGTTTAACTTAGCAGCTGCGAAGGCGATGGAAGGATGAGTGGGAGACGCGAGGTCAAAAGCAGTAACCATGACGAGCAAAAAGAAAGCATTTCTCAGAAAAGAAGAATCACCTCGTTGCTGCCGGGTGCCCCGTCTCCATCCATCGCAATGCCCTGGGCTTTCGATCCCGTCCCCTGCTTTTTTTCCCGCCAGATTCCTTCCAACATCCCGGCTGCACCACGAGCCGAGGTGGTGAAAAGCGAGAGCCGCACCGCGCCGCCACCGCCCGGAGAGGAGAGGGCTGCGTGTGCGTCGCGTGTGCCGTGCGCGCGCGTATGGTAGGAATGGGATGATCGTCCGGCGGCGCGAGAGAGGCGTGGACTCGGCGGTCCGGGAATGGATAACGGAGACAGGTCGGGGGCTGGCGCGGGCGCCGTCGGCAGCGCCGGGAGCCTCGGCCTCCGCGTCGGGCAGGCGGTCTTCTCGTCGGCGTCGCTGCTGTTCATGTCAGTTGGTGTCGAGTTCTTCAGCTACACCGCCTTCTGGTACGAGTGTTTTTCTGCTTCCATGCCATCTGTTTTAGTTTTTGCGCTACTTTCATTCAGTCACAGGAGCGTTGAAGGTCAGGTTGATCGAACGTGTGATCTGGTAGTTCTATGTGATCCTAGTCTTTCACCGTTGCACGGTCCTAAATCCCAATTCTCTCTGACGCTGCACAGCTTCCTGGTGACAATCATGGGCCTGGTCATCCCGTGGAGCTGCACGCTGGCCATGATCGACGTGTACTCCGTGTTGGTGGGATGCCCTCTGCGCGTGCCGGGCGTCATGGTCATCGTCGTGGTAGGAGACTGCGTACGTACTACTCCCTAACCATGCGAGGCCCTCTACAGTCTTCTTCTGCATCGCAGTATGTCAATCATTAAGAAATATAAGAAATACTAAAGGCCTAAACCGTTTCGGGTGCAAATCTCGCAGGCGCTGTCGATCGTCTCGTTTGCCGCCGCGTGTTCGAGCGCCGCGGTGATCGACCTCCTCCTCCAGTTCCACGGATCCCACTGCTCCCCGAGGTTCTGCGGGAGGTACCAGCTGTCTGCCATGATGGCGTTCTTGTCCTGGTTCCTCATGGCCGCTTCTGCTATCTTCAACCTCTGGTTCATCGCCTCACGGTGGTAGCTGCTGGTAAACCTGCAGCAAGTCATTTCTTTTTTTTAAGTATAATAGCGCACATAGTTCGGTTTTGGAGAGCGTATGGTACTTCAGGGTTCAGGTACCTTGAACTTTTGACCAATTAGTCATCCTTGATGTGAATATTTGATTCCCAGATGACCGAGTGCATGTAGTCAGTCCGGACTCAGGAGACTGTCTCTGAATTTGGCTTTGTTGATCCCGTTCCTGGTTCTAACATCTCAAAACGATCTGACGAATGGAAAGCGGCGCGACCTGTCAACCCGTAGGGTTTGCGATAGTACAGTAGAACGTAGATCGGATACTTTTCGGGAAGGGAATTCCGGAAATTCAGCTGATTTAGGTGAACAACGCTGTGTAGATTTCTGATTTCTCCCTGTTCCTCGAACTATTGGGCTTAGAGGATACCAGGGCAGGCCTTTGGGCCATCTTTCCAGGAATTCCTTCTTTCCATTTCCGCCCTGGGTTTTTCTCAGCGTAGAAGGACCATCTGTTGGGATCACGTGTATGGGCCAAGTTTGGGCCTCGTGAGGCGTAAGTCGGAGAGCCCAGATTGCAGTTTAACCAAATAATTTCATAATTCTTATAGCTATTTTTTTCTTGAATACGCAAAATGTTTGCGCATCTTTTTTTAATATTAAGATCGAAAAATAGTGAAAGTTACAACTAGGGGATAGTGTTATACAATTGGCTCTGCCCTCCCTAGCAAAAGGAGATCATGGCTATTACTCGCTAATCATGCTACCTATCCATCAGTGGCGGAGTTTGATGGTGAAACAAGAGGAGACCATCAGCTCTAATTTCTTACTTAATATGTATACTTATTATTAATTTTAATCACCAGTTTAATAGCTACTTAATGGAATTTTCAATCAGCAAGGAGGGGCCATGGCCCTCTTTGATCTGCATGTAGTTCCGCCAATGCTAGCCTTCATCATCGATTAGATGCGATGTCGCTGTCTTGCGCGGCGTCTCGGCCGCTCTCCTTGTGGGTCCAAGAAGAGCTATCGCATTGCCTCGGCATGTGAGGGGTTGAGCTCATCGACAAAGATGATGTCGTAGGCATTCTTGGCTGTCGTGGAAGGCCTGGTTTAGTCCGTCGATGAATCGCATCCGCTTTGTCATCGGCAATAATTCTATGTTCCTGGTCATCAGCACCTTACAAAGTGTGCATAATATTAAACATGAGCTGAACACACGAACGACTATTTATTAGAATTAGAACCAACCACCTACCTCAGATCACAATCTTTAGGAAGGATAGGATACACGACGAAATCTCATTGCTTTTCGTTCACCTCAAAAGAAAAACAATAAACCACCTTGGCCATATCATTGGGCATGCCGCCGGGCGCCGGTGCCGGGAGCCCAGGACACCTCACGAAACTCCTGCCGACTCGACTCGATCGAGCCATCGCAAGTTCGCAGCAGCAACGCCGCGCATGCAAATACTATGCAAAAGTTGTCGCGGAGCGGACGGCGAGCACCGAGCAGGCGACGCGCGCCGAGGCAGCAGAAGGAATGCAATGCAACACGTACACGTGGTGCTCCTTTTCCGGGGTGGTCGCGCTGGATTCCCTCGCCCGGCCGCCCGGCCCCCCTCTCGTGGCCACCTCGCGAGTCGGTCAAAGCTTTCCAGCCTGTGACGATGGCCTGATGGTGTCCCGGTGTCCGTCCTCGGCGGCCTGACTTGTTTATTATTCCTCCGGTCGCACCACCAAAACAAAACAAGGGTGGTGGGTGCATGTCGCGGCGCTAGCGTGCGTCGCACCGTGGCGCTGCTGGTGTTCTGTTGCACTGTTGCCAACTCTCCTGATTGGGACCCCCTGTTCATGGGCCCAGGCTGTCCCGATCTTGGACGGGTCGATGCGTCCTAATCTAGGTGTTGGATTGGTTTTTTTTCGTGTCGCCGGCCCATAACTGTGTTAAGTTGTAACCCACTTGATGCATGATGCGTGCTAATGGCAAGTGGCAAGAGCAAGTGTCACACGGTTACAGTTTGTAATTAAGCAACGTTTAACCAACAATGCATGGATGGTCCATGCGCCATTGCGCGCAATCATGTGTGCGTGGCAATTCAGGCTAGCGTGTAACACGTTTGTAACTGGAAGCATGGGACCTGGTACGCTACCAGAATAAATTTGAACAATGGCAAGCAGCCAAGCACATACAGTACACGAGGACGGAGCAAGTAGCATTCACGCGGGCAACCATATTTGGGTGCGTCGTCTCAAATACAGGCGGGCCGGTCTCGCAGGCATCATTGCAGTTGCAACAGAGCAGACAGCATCAATACGTGCGCCAAAAAACCATCGTGACACTGGTACTGCTGGTAGGCGGCGGTGCATGCATCACAGTTTGTTGCATCAAGAATTCGGAGACCCCATTAATGGAACGGCATCAAGAATGATCACGCTCACTTGACCAGTACCCTACAAGTTAATACATCTTTTGTTGGATTGTATTAATTAGCTTGATTGTTTAGCTGCAACAAACATGTCAGGCTCGGATGGATCGGCAGAAACGATTCGCAGTTCTCGAAAAGCACAACACAACATTTTGCAATGTTGGAAACCGACGAAACAGTAACCATGCGATTCCTTGCTTGTTGGCTTTTCTCATCATGCACGCACGCCTCCTCCTCCTCCTCCTCATCGCGATCCCTGCAGATTACTCCGACACATCGTCGTCGTTTATTCGTCTAGTAATCTGCCTCAGCTTCTAGATCTGCAACGCCATTAATTAAAAAAGTTAAATGCACCAGAGATCCATTAACTTGTGAGAAGGTTTCGATTAGGTCCATCAACTTCCAAAGTGATTTTTTGGGTCCATAAACTTTGTACGCCATATCACTTAGGTCTATACATCTCCACGTTGGCTTCTCGTGCTGATGTGGTATGATGCTGTGGCCATGCGGGTGTGCAGGTGGCTTCTCCGGCGGCGCTTCGCGGTTGGAGTGGAACGCGACTAGGCTCGTGGTGCGCTGGAGCTTCCCTTGCCGGCGAGGTCCCGGCTTACGGTGGTCGGGCGCACGCGCGATGCTGCGAGCGAAGTGCCACTGTGGAGTCTGGCCGAAACCGTGATGGCGCGCGCCGGACTTGGGCGCAGCAAAGCAAGCAGCCGCGGCGCGCGCTGCGGCGGCGGCGCAGCCTTCGCTGCGCGCGTGACCGGTCGGCCAACGGAGAGGAGTTGGTGACGGCGCTGCGCTTTGGCGCGGCCGAGCCCCTCGACAGACGCGTCCGAGGAGCACCGGAGTTGCCGTCGCGGGCGACATCATCGCAAGCACGGACCGCCCACGGTGCCGGCGGACCACACAACGGCGCCACCGGGGCGGAGCGGAGCACGAGGTTGCCCGCGCCATGAGCTCCGCAGACGCGCCCTCCCGGCACGGCACGGCGGCCGCGGTTGGCGGACCAGACCACCTGCGGGATGCCCGCCACCAAGGAGGTCATGAGCCCGCCGTTGTTGCGATGAAGCGACGACCGTGGAGATGGTGGAGGCGGGGAGGAGGAGGTGGACAGCACACCCCCGCCGTCTTCCGCCGCTGCCTCGTCCTCGGCTGCCGAAGAAGCGGTGGCGTTGAAGCACGAGGCTGCCGAAGAAGCAACTGGTGAGAGCTCGGGCTCCGGTGCTCTCCTGGCGTGTCGGCGTACGACGAGGCCCCCGCTCGTCGCTGCATGCGCTGCGCCGTGGGGAGGCCAAAATCGAGGCCGCCGACGAAGACGTGGAGACGCCGAGGCCAGAGGGATGAGCCCGGTTCGCGTACACTCGGCGGCGTTGAGCGAGAGGCCGCGAGGAAAAAGCGAGGAGGAGCGTGGCCGCAGGCATTGGCCGGAGCTTCGCCGTGGCCGGCGGATTCCGCGAGGGCGCAGCAGCCAAGAGGGCGCTTGCCGACGTCTTCGCGGAGAGATAGAGCCCTCGGGCGAGCGACCACGGCGACAGAGTTCGCCACGGCGGCGATTCGGCGTGGACTCTCAAGTCCACGGACACGGCGCGGTGGTGCCGCGGCGACGGACCGACTTCGCCGAGCGGAGGAGAGGGCAGCGCGCAGTGTGCAGCAGCGGTGAACGCTAGGCTTCTCGGGGCGAGACCGGCCGGACGCCGCCATGACTGGTGCGAGGAGGCCGGCGCCCGTGCATGCCGACGGCGTCTACTACCCGTCGTCCGGTGGCCCCGTCGTGCCGTGCCCCTCGAGCCCTTCGATCCCATCATGGCGCTGCTCCGGGAGCCGGAGGTGTCGCGAGGGCATGAGCCATGGCGCAGCTTCACGTCCACCGCAACGGCGACCCGCGACGGCGGCAGCGAGCAAGAGGTCAGAGGTTGACGAAGGGCGCTCGCTCGTTGACGGCGGCGGCGAAGGTGTTAGGTGTGGCTCGAGAAGGCCACCGGCGCCAGGTGCTACTGTGCTGTCGGTATGGCGGCTCAACTTTCGCCTCGACGACGGCGGCGAGTTCACCGGCGGTGGCCACCCCACCCCCGTCCAGAGTTCCCGGACGTGGCGGAGCTGGTGGACTGCAGTGCCTCGACATCTACGGGACCCTCTCGGCGGCCGCGCTCACGCCGGGGCCCCCTACGCGGCGTACCTGGTGTACGACACCGCGGAGGGCGGACACCGCGGCCTCAGCTTCCCGGACCAGGAGACGACGTAGGCCGTGGGCGGCCGCGTGGTGGCGCGTCGGAGGTCCAGGAGAACTTACCGCGGCCCGACGCGTGGCCGCGGCACCAGGCGCCCTCGTACATGCTGCCATCGGTACACAGGAACTTGCCCGCGCCGCTGGGCAGCAGCTGCTCCGCCTGCATGGCCTCGCCGAGCGCCTCGGCGTCCTCGTCCTCGCCGGCGCGCGTCCGTGAGAGGGAGCAGCTAGCGGTGCGTGAAGAAGCCCCTGAGCGAGGCCAAGTGTGGCACTGGCCGCAGCTCGTCGACGACGGCGGCGAGCAGCAACAGCAAGCAGCTGCAGCGGGGTGGGTCGTCGCCGTTCAGGGCCGGC